CGGGGAGCAGGAGCAAGGGCAGTAGGAAGGGCTCTTCTTCAGCCTCCTCCACAGCTGGGGGTGGGAAGAGCAAAGAATCTGCCCCAAAGCCTAGACCACCAGCGCCTGATGGGACCAGGTGCACTACACCAGCCAGCACACCCACTCAGCCTGTCCCTGTCCCTAGCTCAGGCCCCACCAACATGGCCTGCTGGGGTGGGGGGAACGCATCTATGCACAGCCAGCTGCAAGGAGACCCAAAGCTGGGGGCCCTGGACCCTCCATTGCCAGCTCTTCCAGCTCAGACAGCAAGGCCCCCTTTCTAGCACTCACCTGCAGGCATGGGGTGAAGTGCCAACTGCCCAAGTGGGATAACCTGCACTTTGAGACCTGGGTGCAGGCCCTGACTCAGGTAGTGCCCCCTCCCCCCCCCCAAGACTATGGCGGCCTCCCACTTTCATGGCAAGGGGTTCTTTTTCCTTGCCTTGGAGGCCGCCACACAAAAGGAGGTGGAGAGGGGGCTCACAGTGGAGGGCAAGTACATCCCCCTCAAGCCTCTAGAAGAGCTGGGGACCAGGGTGGTCCTCAGCTCCATCCCTCCCTATATCCCCATTTGGGCCCAGCTCTCCCAGTTTCAAACCCTGGGGAGAGTTGTCTCCCTGGTGGTGGCCCTCTCACTGGGTGCTGAGACCCTGGCCACCGCCACGTGCACTCTTTCTGTTACCAGGTCATGACACAGCTGGCGGCGGAAGCACGGCTGGAGGCTGAGGGGGGGCTGGGAATTCCTTATCAGGGGACCCTGGTAAACTCTTTCTGTTACCAGGTCATGACACAGCTGGCGGCGGAAGCACGGCTGGAGGCTGAGGGGTGCCTGGTAATTCCTTATCAGGGGACCCTGGTAAGGATTTTCTATACACTGGGGGACCTGTCTAGCAGTGCTTCCAGTGCCATGCCCCAGGGCACTCACATAATGAGTGCCCCATGGACCAGGCAGGGAGGGCATCTTTGGGTCCCTCTGGAAAAAAGGGTGCCCCTACCACTGGTGCCCCACCCCTCTCAGGCCCCCCAGCACCCCAGCCGCACCTACAAGCCCACTCATGAGCTCAAGGGACCCTGCCCCCCAACCAAGTCTAGGGGAGTCCCAGGGAGGGCCCCAGCAACCAGGGGAAGAGAGGGAGCAGGGCCCCCCTGCCCCTAGTCATACCGTTTTATGGCTGCCCCACTTCCCCAACCCTCACCCTCTCTTGCTGGAGCCTGTCCACCTGAGGACCACCCTATGGCTGAGTGGGTGCAGGTCCCCTCCGGGCGTAAAAGGAAAAGAAAGACCCAGGCACAGCTGGAGCCCTCTGACATGGAGGACTCCTCTCCCCCTCCCAGGACCACCACTTGGGGGGGAAGGGGCAGCCCAGACTCCAGGGGCCTCCCCAGCTGTGCCTGACACCCCATCCCCAGGAAAGATCAAATGGTGGATCCCCACGGAGGAGGTTTCAGGGATGCTAGATAGTCCTGAACAGGAGCCCAAGGGGGAAGCCCTTCATTCTGCTGACCAAGGCCAACCCCCTGAAACCACAGGCACTGAGGCTGAGGCCTGCCCAAAGGAAAGCCTGGCAGCAGAGCCTCCTCCCTCTTATCTAGGGGATACAGAGGCCCTGGGGCTCACCCCAGTGAGTTCGGAGGGAGGAGTTCCCCTTTTCCAGGACCCCAAGGCAAATGCCAGAGCCACCCTGGTGCCTGGTGGGTCTCTTCCCTCCACCTCGCCGGAAAACCTCACCTGCAGCCTGCCCCATAGTCCCACACCAGAGGGGGTCACGGTAGGGTCCCCTAATCAAGGGGCTGATCTCAGTGGGGACCCTGAACAGACCCCCCAGGGCTCTAGCTCTACCCCACTATTTTGTGAAGGATCCCCACCCCCATCCTTACCCCCACCCCTGTCCCAGGGGGCTCAGAGTTCTCCTAATTCCAACCAGAGTCTGGGGTCTTAGCAGACCTGGGGGTTCAGATGGTGTCGGAAGATCCCTCTGAGCTACAGGACCAGGAAGAGGATGCCCAAGAACCAGCAGGCACCATGGAACCTGCAGACCTCTCGGTCCTAGCGGACCCCTGGGATGAGCTACTTGCATTTCTTAACCATGACTACACCCACCAGTCTGCCAGCAAGGTACAGCTAGCCTTGGACTGCTGGGGAGATTTTGACAGCGACCTCACCACTGCGAGGGCACTGGCAGGGGAAAGCAAGGGGCCCAAAAGCTGCAATGCCCGGATCAATTGGCAGGTCCGCAGTTTCATAGATGCCCTCTATGCATATGGGAGGGCGCCACATGAACCAGCAGCCCCACAATGGGCGTTGAGCTGCATGAGGCCCCTGATTACCCCCCCCCCCCCCCCCAGCCATGAGATTGTTCAAGATCATGACCCTCAATGTCCACAGCTGCAGGAAGGGTCTCCAGAGGTGCTAGGTGCTCTCCTTCCTTCAGGAGTGGGGGTACCCTATGGTATTCTTGCAGAAGACCCTGATGACTCCAGCCAACGAACCAAATGGGCAGCTGGAGTTGGGAGTCAGGGTCTTTTTTAGTCACCTCTCAGCCACCTCATCTGGGATGGCCACCCTGTTCTCCCCAGGCCTGCAGCTGAAGGTTCTCTAGGATGTTGAGGTGGTGCTGGGCCACCTGCTGCACCTCTGGGTCCAGGTTTGGGGGCTGGTCCTGAACCTTCTGAACATGTATGCCCCTGCGAAGAACCCAGAGTTGGTGGATTTCTTCCACCAGGCAGCCACGTACATCGGCACCTTCAACCCTCGTAAGTGCCTGGTCCTCAGCGGGGACTTTAACATCACCCTAGATGTGCAAGACCAGTCAGGCAAGGAGTGGAACTAGGCCACTGTGGGTGTCCTCAGGGAGATCCTGATGGAATGCTCCTTGGTGGACATCTGGCGTGCCTGTCACCCCACTGAACCTCCTGCCTTCATTTATGTGAGTATGGGGGAGGAGCAGGCATGCCACTCCCGGTTAGACCAGGTTTATATCTCTTTGCTGCACTTTGACCAGACCCACTCCTCTGGCTTCTGGCCGACCCCTTTCAGTGATCAACACCTTGTCTGGGCCCAGGCCACACTGGGGCCTGGGTGTCTGGGGTCTGCCTACTGGAATTTCAATGCCAGCCTGCTGGAGGATGTGGGTTTCAGGGAGGCTTCCCAGGAGTTCTGGCTGGGCTGGCAAGAGCAATGGGCAGCTTTCCCCTTGGCTCGGAGATGGTGGGATGTGGGGAAGGTGCACATCCAGCTTTTTTGCTGCTGCTACACTCAGGAGGCACACCTGGAAGAGGGAGTTGGTCTGGGAGCAGCTCGTGTGGGAAGTGCTAGAGTTGGAGAGGTGCTTGGCCACTGACCCAACCAACCTGTCCCTCTATGGAGCGTGTCAGGGGAGGCGGGAAGAGCTTCATGCTCTGGATGACCACCATGCCCACTGTGCATTTGTCCACTCACTCATCCAGCTCCTTTGGAAGATGGAACATAGCTCCTGCTTCTTCTTTGCCCTGGAGAGGAGGCAGGGAGCCAAGAAGTACATCACCTGCTTTCTGGTGGGTGTGTGTCCCCCTCACGGATCCAGGTGAGATGTGCCAGCGCCTTCTATGAAGGCGCTTCTCCCTGGCCTTCTATGAAGAGCTCTTCTCCCTGGATCCAACTGATGCTGAGGCCTGTTATATCTTGTGAGAGGGACTCCTGCAGGCCAGTGTGGGTGACCAGGACCAGCTGGAAGCTCCTCTCACTCTGGCTGAGTTTTTGGCCAGCCTCCACCTGATGCCTGGCAACAAGGCTCTGGGTATCGACGGGCTGACCTCAGAGTTCTACTAGGCTTTCTGGGATGTCCTCAGCCTGGACCTTGCTGCAGTCTGGGCTGAATCCAAGGGAAGTGGGGCGCTCTCCCTGTCATGCCAAAGGGCTGTGCTGACACTCCTGTTGAAGAAGGGAGATCCCTGCGACCTAAGGAATTGGTGTCCCATTTCCCTCCTCTGCATGGATTACAAGGTGGTAGCAAAGGCCATCTTGCTGCACCTGCGATCCATGCTGTTAGATGTGATGCATCCTGACCAGATGTTCCTGGTGCCCAGACATTCCATCTTCAACAACCTG